TCTGCTTCAACTTTCAGTCACCAAATTCTGACAGTTTTACCTCCACAATCGCTCTCATTCTCCTTCCTTTCTCAGTCCCTAAGACTCTCGGCTCAATCCAAGCTCTCATTATATATAACTAAATATGCTGCAAAAGCATCCTAATTGACATTTTCACGTGATGCCTTTTTAGTCCACTCCGTGAATGGCTATTCGAGTAGCTTCCTAAACTCTAGGTTGGCTCTCCTTACTCCCTCAAAATAATGTTCTCTCGGGCCTATAGAATAATGGTAGCAAGGATGATGATGATGATGATGATGGGATAAGGTGTAGAGTCTTACCATGTGCCAGGTACTTTAAATATTACGTATATCCTACTTCCAACATACCAAGAGGCAATTACAACTATTAGTATCCATTTACAGATGAGAAAACTAATAAAATCATAACCTGTAACGCCCTGTGTAATGACTCTTCACACCACTCTCCTATGGTTATTGCCCATCATCCTTCTGTTCTCCCTCGCACATGCTCGTACAATAACTGAAATGGCACCTGCTACCTGCTGAGTAGATCAGGCTCTGAGTGGGGTGAGCCTCTGGGCCAGGAGGATTCTTCTGCTCCATTCTCTCAAATCCTTCTCACTTTTCAAGGCCCAGGAAAAACACTACCTTCTCTGTCAACCTTCCAAGCTTCTTCCGCTTGGACTTAACTGATTATTAAGCGAGGGGAATCTGACGTTTGCAGAACCTGCACCCAAGTTGTAGAAGTATGACAGAGAAAAAAACACAATAAAAAACGTTTTATGAATGACAGGTGTGACTGGAGAGCTTCCAAATATCACGTACAATTCAAAAAAGGCAAAGGACATTGGAAAGTCAGCATGTGTAATTAAGGAGATCCATTTAGATGTGACGCCTGTTCTGGGAGTCGCCTGCACCCACCCTGGGCCCCAAGAGACATGCTTTGTATCAGTGCCTGCCCTTTTCACATCTGACTCTTGGAGAATATCGCGAACTTCACGTGAAGAAAGAAGAGCTGTGAAACAGAACTATCTGGGAATACCTATTCTTAACAATTATGTTAAAAAAATTAACGTTTTTCAGAGAATGAACTCAGAAACAAGTAGAAAGGGAAGACTGAGAAACAAAGAAACTTATATTAATGGGGGGAATGGAAGGCGCACGAGGGAGACAGGACATCTCCGCTGTGAGTTGGAACCTCAAATCAGATAAAAATGTACTCAGACTATCTCCATTTTGCAATCATCAGGCCCTTCTTCTAGAATAAATAGGGTAAATTACTGGGCTGAATGATCATCAAGATATCTATGGTCTCAAATAAGTCTACACCCAGGTGAGGAGTGGTGGGGAACTCCAATTCTAGGTCTGGATCAGCAAATTTCAGGGCCACTGGAGAAGCAAACCACACACCAAATAGCCTGTTATCAGAAGTCCATTGAAAACTGGTCACACCTCTAATTCCGTTCCTTGTGATAACTCCAAATCTTTGATAAGAGCACAATACTTAAAAAGAAGTTAGTCTAGCCAACTCAGGATTCTATGTTACTACAGGAAGGAAGCCATAGCCATCCATGGTCATGGGGGGCAGAGTGGGGGGTGTGTGTGTGTGTGTGTGTGTGAGAGAGAGAGAGAGAGAGAGAGAGAGAGGGAGAGAGAGAAGGGGATAGAAATACCTATATAAAAGAAAGAGTCTCCAAACATTCCAAATTAAGAAAATAATAATAATTTCTCATTGATCAATTACCCACGAATTTAGTTAAACTTTTTCAGAAGTTATTGAAGTAATTAAAGACATGAAAGATTTTCCCTCTTTCTCTTAGTATCACAGACGTCCTTTATATTTTTCAGGCTATAGCTCATATTCATAAAAACTCCTATTACCAAATGATTAAAATTTAACCCAATTCCTTTTCATCCTGTTTTAAAAAGATGAGGCTGAAGTTCTTTTAGTTTCTTCCCAAAGAGATTACTAATTTTTCCCTCACGTATTGTTTTTCCAGAAAGCCAGCTGCCATGTTTATACTAATTGGGAGGTGAATGACTTTCAGGGAGACATTTAAGTGTCTTTTCCTGTAGCATGAACACAGCACCTCTGACTGACTGCCACTAGGAAGGCTTCATTTCCCTTCCTTGTATCAACTCACCAGGCCTTTTTCTTCCGTTTGTGCTTGGACTCAATCATGCGAACAATGGCTTCCTCTTCGTAGGTGTGGCCACACACTTTATTTTTCACTGGCTTCTTCATTTCCAACTGCAATCAAGGAGACATGAGACTTTCAGGAAAGATAATGATCAACTTCCAGTAATTTCTGCAAGTCACCAATTATTCGGTGCTGTTTTTTCCCCTCATCCCAGTGGGGGGCTTTCTATGTTTCACCTCCCAATCTCATGGCTTTTGATAATTATTAGGGCAAATGACCACAGAAGAAAATGCAAGGAGGCCAAGTGGCACCAATATCACTTGGCCTGTGGGCCAGGGATTTATTTCTTAAGCACATGATTGACTAAAAACTCTCTCCAGCCCAAGAAGCTTCCATGTATACTCTTCAACACTCATCACTTTGCTTTACACCCTCCGTAACTCTGGATGTGAAATCAATGGGAACCTTTTGTCTCTGTGAAGCGAACTGCTGCTTCTTTCAGGGGAAGAGGAGGAAACGGTACCTGCGTAATGGGGCAGATGAAGTTGGTCTGACTTTGGGTCACAATCATGTCTTCATCAACTCCTTCTGTTCCATCAGCCTCTCTGTCTGCTTGTAGACCATCTAAAGGAAAAAAGGCAAGTCACTGAGCCTCCTTGGTCTATCAGGCCAAGGACAAGAAGAAATGAAGGGAAGGATGTTAACAGTTTCTCAGGGTCTATATGGTCTCAGCCCCCGTGCTAGGCACTTGGATGCAATGAACTCTTCTGCTCTTGAGAGAATCTTGCAGGGGAGGTGGAATTCTGCCTACTTTTGATGGGAATCTGAGACTCAGAGCAGTAAAATCACGTTTTCAAAGTCACAGAGAATTAATTTGTTGAGGAGTGCTGTCCAGTAATCAAGAGTGTTGCTTTGGAGTCAGCAGGACCTGGTTATCTCTTTCACTTCCAGCTGTGAGACCTTGGACTAGCAAGGTCTTTTTTTCAATGCCTCTACTTTATAGCTTTGTTGCAAAAATCGAAAGAGATTAAGAACATAGTGTGCTTTGCACAGCTCCAGGCACGAGAAAACATTCAATAAATAGCCATGACTGTTAGGTAGTGCATGGCTTCTCAAACTTTTTAGTCTTAGAACGCTTCTATTCTTTTAGATATAGCCAAGGACCACAATGCACTTTTTAAATGTGGGGTATATCTTTGCCATATTAGATGTTAAAACTGAGGAATTAGAGAAAGAATTTATTAATGCATTTACAAATAACAACCCTTATTATATGCTAACATAAATGACATTTTACAAATTAAAAATAATTACATTTTCTAGAACAAAAAATGTTAATGATAAGAGTGGCGATGTTCGACATTTTTAAAAAGTATCTTTAATGTTCGGCTTAATAGAAGACAGTGGATTTTGATATCTGTGCCTGCATCCAATCTGTTGTGATATTATGTCATGTTGCCTCTGGAAAAACTCATTTATGAAAAGAAAGAGAGAGAAAAAGAAAATGACATCTTAGTATTATTATGAAGATAGTTTTGTCCTCACGGGTACCCTGAAAGGCTATCAGAGAACCCCGGAGTTTCCTGGCTCAGTCTTTGAGAACTGCGGAGCGAATGAGTGGCGGGGTTGGCTTTGACTCGAGCTTATTTGATTCTGAAATTCTAAAATCTGTATCCTTTTCATTCCATGGTATTTGCCTCTCGCTGAGGGAAAACATGATAGGTGACTTTTGAACGGGATAATGAGAGTATCTCAGATGAAAGCCTTTCTGAAAAAGGCAGGCTTGTCATTTTGCATAGATATCAAAGATCAATAGACACACCTGTTGATGGTATGGTCCCCCCCCACCACCACCCTTTCCTTTCTTTCCTCTCTTCTTCCTTTCATTTTGGCAAAATAAGATAGACATTAAAAATTGATTTGCATTCAATGTGTGAGGGAAACCTGTGTCTCAGGTTCAGCGTGCTCTGTGCATCTTTCAGTTCGTAGAGCCGATGACCCTGGCCCTCCACGTTGGCGAGATGGAGTGTCTGTCTAGAAAAGTACAACTAGGGGTGGAAAAGGGCCACAGAAAACTTGTTCAAGGTCACCCCGTGAACTAATGCCTGGAACCCAGGAATTCTGCTCCCAGTTAGTCTGATTTTTGTAGGGGTTTCACCTTGTTTAACAATCAGACTAGTGGTATTTGGATGTCTGCTTGTATTTTCTTAGAGAGAAATGCTCCTCAAAGCAGCTCACACTCCTTGGAGAAGGCAACAGTGAAGACCCCAGACCTTGGGACTTCCCGGGCAGAGCTTTGTAACCATTGGGCGTTAAAGTACAGTGCCTGGGGCCTCCCAGCTTTTCAAGGGCCTAGAAAAACATCTGAGGCCTTGAAAACCATTCATTGGCTTCAAACAGGGCAACTACAAAATTGAATAAATGTTAAAGATCTACAAAATCTAATGTTAGCTTAACTTTGTTAATTGTTGATTTAATAATCAAAAACATTTCACTTGGAATCAATATGTAGGTGGAATTGAGGTTTTAACTCAGTAATTCCTAAGTATGCTAAGATAATTTCTGATAATGGCCAATTATACGTTACACCTGTTGCTTGTAGCCAACCAACCTCCAAAGCAAAATCGTAAAAATATTTTCCAAAAACTCCGTCAGTAATAAAATTATACTTAATGTGGAGGTGGCCATATTTGAGTATGTGTGGTATGTCGTGGGCTGGGGACTCTGAAATAATATTCCTCAGACTTAGGGAGAGTTTTTGTGCTTCCCAGGACCTGGCTTTGGTATTCACAGCACAAGGATCAGACTCCTAAGAGTTCTTTACCAACCATGATTCCTCACAAGGGCTCGGGAAAGGTGAACAGGTAGAGATGTCGAGGAGCAGAGCTGGGAGAATTCTGCCTCTGATTTCCTTCCCAAAGCTCCCTCCTGTAGGCTGCTGCCCCTTTCTGACTGTTTAATCATCAAAATAAGAGCATTTCTCTGTCCATTTCTTACAGGGCTTATTCTGAACCAACGGCAGATTGCTGATTGCTCATGTTACAGTGTGGAATTCACCGGAAAATCTGTTAGATGAATAGCAGAGTTCAGCCAATGTGAAAGACTGTGGGTTTGTTTTTTAGTTTCTATTTTTACATTTCAAAAGGTAGAGGAAGCAAGAAAGCACAGCTCAAGTGCAATGCCAACCACCAGGGAAGGCTGAGTGGGGAACTTAAAAACTGTAGGTGGCTATCAACATCGGGGATCACGAAAGAAGGAGGTTTCACAAAAGTAAGACTGAGGAAGAATGCCAGGCGTGAGTAATAGCCCACAGACCAAGAGTCTAAAAAGAGAAGGAGTCTCAATAGCTAAACTTCTCTTGAGACAGAACATTTCTTCACCCGAAATCTGTATTTATAGAAAGTGATAATAACGTTGGGATTCTACGATGTGCTAATAACAAAAGGTCACATCTGGCAATAAATATCACATGAATTTAGCGGACCCAAAGACAAAACTGTTTGATAAGCTTGGTAAAAGGAAGGTTGGAGAAAAAAATACAGATCAAATCATGCAGGGATTTACTAACTTGGCGTACGGCTCCGTTTTCTTGGCCTGGTTAATTTGAATACTAAGACCAGTGTCTTGGTTCTGGGAGCCATCACTCCCTCCCCCAAGTTATTATTTTATTTATGATAATAGCTCAAGTTTACTGAATGCTACACAACAGCTACTGTGCTAAGCACATTATATACGTTATTTCATTTAATCCTCACAAAATACCCATGAAGAAAAGCTCTGTTGTTATTTACCATTGTATAGACATGAAAAGTTAACCTCTCCCCCAATATTTTTAAGGCAAAATATCAGCATTATCATGAAGAAATGAGTGGACTCAATCAGTTTCATTGTTACTAAAGAGAGCATAAAATTGTTCCTGATTACAAAGGGAAAAACAAGAAAATGAGTCATTGTTTTCTATATACATATACAAGGTATGTTAGAAGGATATGTCAGCTGACAGCTTCCAGCCAGGTGGTCAGACCTCTGACCCACACCTTACCCCATACCTGGGCCCAGGGCACGAAGCGAAGTGCTGAGGAGGGAACCTGGACAGGAACTTCCGATTTACGGAGTAATGACGAGGGATGCTAGTATCTTGAATGGGGCTTTTTTGATGTTACAAAATGAACACACACACACACACACACACACAAAAAGAGAGAGAAACCATGGAAATGCTTGAAGTAGTAGGAAGTGAACGGTCCAGGGTTCTAATATTCCCCAGTGATGTAATGTTAGTGGGGTAGTGAGGGACTTTATTGGACCCCAAGATATGGGTTCTTGGCTAGTCAGTTACAACTGCTAATAAAGAGCTAAACAGTTCTGCCTTCAGCCTTTCCCATCTCGGTCATCATCCTCCTAGTCGCCCAAGCCCAAACCTTTGGAACCACTGCTGATTATTCCTTCTCCTTCATTCCTCACATCCATCAGCAAACTGTTGACTGGTTCTAAGCTACATTCCCTAAATCTAAATCTAGCTCCTTCTCTCGGTCTCCACAATATCTTGGTCCAAACCACTGTGGCGTCCTGCCCAGACTTCTGCCGTAGCCTCCTCGCTAGAACCCCTGCCGGCAAGGGCACAGCCCTCCCATGCACACTTTCTGGTCCACACAGCCGACCTCTCTGACGCGTCTCCCTCTCGCCCACCAGGCTCAAGTCCCACTGGTCTTTTCGGCTTCTGGCACATGACAAGCTCTTTCCTATATATTTGGGCCTTTACACTAACCTGCCTGGAAAGTTCTCCCTCCTGATCCTTGCCTGTCCTACTTCTGCTTGTCATTTTAAATGTCAGTTTAAATGTCGTCTCTTTGGAGAGACCTGTTCTGAGGCCCCAAGCTAAAGAAGCCACCTGGGCATTCTCTGTCACTTTATTTTGTTGTGACGCTCTCTGCAAAGCACCTAGCTGTGAGCGCTCTTTTCTGGTCTGCCTCCCTCCGCCTTTCTTCCTACCCCACCCCCACCCCGTCCCCCTCATTCTCGTCCAGGAATGCAAGGTCTTTGCTGTCTTGTTCACTGATGTTTCCTAGAGCCTAAAATGCCCTTGACATGTAAGCATAGGTGTTCAATAAACACCTGATAAGTAAAGGGCTTCATCCAACAAGGCAGGAGTGGGTATATTTTTCATAACCATGTACTTAACATATTTGACAGCTGTGGCCACACACACACACACACACACACACACACACACACACACACACACACCTTCATACAATGATGATTTTAGGTTTCAAGCAAATAACAGAGAGGACTCCACTCAAGCCGGGGGTGCAGCCTCAGACCCCGAATTACATGTCAAAGGCAGGAAGTAAATATAAGTTTTACAATTACAGTAGGCTGTGTGGTAATTATAAAGAAGGCTCCAGACATGGCCTGTGGTCAGAAAATACATTTGGTCCTGGCCACACACAGCCCTAGGATTAGTCACTTGTCTGTCTTCATGCATCCCGGATCTGGCCACCACTTAAGACGGTTTTATGCCAGCTGGGAATAAAAGTTGATTGCTGTGGTGCTTTTTCAATTAAGCCTGGCCATTTCTCAAAAAGCACCTTTCTCTTGAGAGTTAGCAGCATAGAAAGAAA